AAAAAGGGAACACGAGTCCTCGCCTCGGTAACTCTTGAATCTGCTCCAAACCGTTTTCTTTTTCTGAGATCTCCAAAACCCCTCACCGGGGCTTAACGAATTCTTGCCACTTATCTTTATTTCCCGTGTTTTAGTCTAGTGAAATCCTGGGGGTTCTTGTGCCTGATTCATGAAAACTTGGATTTTCCTTTTTCTTAGTTTCCTTGTTTTCACGTTGTCCTGTTTGAGTTTTGAATATGCCATTTCTCAATCGGAAAAGGCTGAAAACAAGTTTAGGGAGAGGGAGGCAACCGACGATGCCCTAGGTTACCCCAATTTGTGAGTTTCTGGTTTTGTTGTTGAAGGTTAACATCTTGTATTGCATTACTGATTGGATTAATAAAGTGGAGTTCTTTCGTTGTCTTGTCGTAATTGGATTGGTGCCTGTTATAATGAATTTTTTTTATTGATGACAATGTATCGATCAGTTGTTGATAAGAACTGTTGAATATAATCTTTTCTAATGATTGTGAATTAAGTTATGTGGTATTAGTACCGCTCATTATTTTTTTTTTCCAATTCTTATTTTAGTGATGCATTGCAACTTTCTTACATGTAAGTAGTGATGCATTGCAACTTTCTTACATGTAAGTGATGCATTATGCTTATGATGTTTTGTGCGATAGTGATGAAGATGAGCTGTTGAACACACAATGCCCTCGGCATTTGGAACTTAGATGGCAGGCTGAAGTGAGTTCTAGCGTATACGCGTCACCTTTGATTGCTGATATTAACAGGTGATGTGAAGGGATCATCTGCTTTGAGATTTCTAGTATGTTTATATTGTTTATTTACCTTATTCATGTTGTGTTTCACAAGGGTTTCCCAAATTCAAATATTGAATAATAAATTGTCCTAAATTTGGTTAATTTAGATGTGCGAAAAAAAATGATTTTTTATCCTTATGTTTTGTTTCTATCCATTGAGGTGCCTTATTAGCATCACATTTTTTTTTTGTAATTATGCGAGTTCTTTTATTTGTTTATTTTTTTGATAATGTTTTCTTTGAGTTGTTCATGGGATCTTGATATATTTTCTTACGTATATCACAGTGACGGAAAGCTTGAAGTTATCGTTCCTTCTTTTGTCCATTACTTGGAAGTCTTAGAAGGCTCTGATGGGGATAAACTGCCAGGTATCAGTTAGAACTTGCAGAATATATTCTAGGCCAGGGTTCTACATCCGTGATATGCATTGGGATTGGTTTCTATTCCTACTTATACTAATCCACATCTATGTTTGAAAATATACTAAGATGGATAAAGGATTTAAGTATTCCAGTATATTTTGCAGAGCATTTCTTTATCTTTAAATTGAGAATATAGTTGATTTAATTGTTTTGGGAAAATACATTTTACTCTCGTAAACTACCTACTAATTATTACGACAAGTAAATTTTCATTTCTAATTATAACCCCATTGGGTATGTGCATGTTATCTCCTGCTAAATACAATAAACTATTAGATTAAATACCTACATTGGCAAGGTATCATAAGTGGCCACAAATATGCACCTTGTGATATCTTTAAAAAATAATCCAAACACCACATCATCTGTTACACAGTATCCAATCCCACAATCAAAATGTGTGCTTGAAATATTGCCAGAAAGAACAGCAAACAGTATTTAAGCAGCAAATATCATAGTTTCCTTAGGCACTAAGATCAATACATAGTGAATCTTTATTTTTACTGGAATTTTTCAGGATGGCCAGCTTTTCATCAGTCAACGGTTCACTCTAGTCCTCTTCTATATGATATTGACAAGGATGGCGTTAGGGAAATTGCTTTAGCCACATACAATGGTGAAGTGCTCTTTTTCAGGTAACAACCCTGGATTCTTCATTTGCCTTGTTGAAAAGATATTCGTTTTGATCACTCTCTTTTCTGAAAAATAGGGTATCAGGCTATACTATGTCAGACAAATTGGTGGTTCCGAGGTTGAAAGTTAAAAAGGATTGGCATGTTGGCTTGCATACTGATCCTGTTGACCGTTCTCGTCCAGATGTTCATGATGACCAATTAATCCAGGAGTCTTCTTTGGACTCATTCGCTCGTAAGTGTTCTTTTGCCTGCTGAATATTTTCACTTATCTTTTTTTTTTTTTTTGATCGGTAAAAGTAAATTTATTGATATTTTCACTTATCTTTCTTCACTGCAAAGCATTATGAAAAGTGCAATATTGTTCCCTTGTGTTAAAATTGCACTATTACCCTAGTTTTCGTTTTTCGTACTTTGTCAACATCCACAGATTTATGCTAGATGATTTTGTGGTACGTATGGGAGGATAAAGCTGCCATAGTCTTGCTATTGTATGCAGATGTTTATGTGTTTCTATGATCATTCATCAACAATCAAGTTGGATTTTCTACTAATTTTTTGGGAGTATCTTCTAACTCTACACATCTTGTGAAAATTCCAGAGCCCAATGAGAGTACATCTACAGCAAATATTACGAGTTCCATAGCAGGTCATAATGACTCATCTCATTCTGCCCCAGAACATGACACCTTGAATAGCACTATTTCTGCTGATATTCAACATGACAATCAGCTTAATGCATCTCAAGAAGATACCCAAGGCCAAGGGGAAAGAAACGGAAGTCTACTAGATCCGGGCATTAAGATGCCTCTAATTACGAATAACTCTTCTTTGGCTTCTGGATCTGAGAAAGTTAGCAATGGGGAGAGTGGAAATTCAGTGAGAAGAAAGCTTTTAGAAGAAAACGACTCAAAAGTCAATGAGGATGCCCATACTGCAACAGTGGAAAATGAGGGTGGTCTAGAAGCAGATGCTGACTCATCATTTGAGTTGCTTAGGGACAGTGATGAGCTGGGGGATGAGTATAACTATGATTACGATGACTATATTGATGATTCCATGTGGGGGGACGAGGAGTGGACTGAAGCACAACATGAGAAACTGGAAGATTATGTTCATATAGATGCACACGTTTTGTGCACTCCAGTAAGTATACTTATGAACACTACTTTCTTTCTTGCTTGTGGTTATTTGGAACTACAGATTGAATTTTTTGCTTGAATTATCTTCAGGTAATAGCAGACATTGATAAGGATGGTGTCTTCGAGATGATTGTTGCTGTTTCCTACTTCTTTGATCGAGAGTAAGTTTATTTACTGTCAATTAAATGCATTTTACTGTGGTTGCTTATACAGATACAATAATCTAAGCTGTAGAAATGTGATGTGAACTTCTCTACAGTCTCACGCACGCTGCTAATGAGAGCTTGTTTTCTTATGCATGGTCATATATTTTGATTTTTGATAAATTTATGATTATAATATGGACTCGAATATAACTGCCTCTCTTTCAACCGCTGGTGGGCATCAGCCACGATGCTAAATATATTAGTGGCATCTTCCATTAGATAGCTTGTTAATTTACGATATGGACTTTGAAGTCAATGTTGCTCAGATTGTAGTTTGGCAGGTATTATGACAATCCAGAGAATATGAAAGAACTTGGTGGTATTGATATTGGAAAATATATTGCTGGGGGCATTGTTGTCTTCAACCTTGACACAAAGCAAGTGAAGTGGAGTGTTCAGCTGGATCTGAGCACTGATAATGCAAATTTTCGTGCCTACATGTACTCTTCTCCTAGCGTTGTTGATTTGGACGGTGATGGGAACTTGGACATTCTTGTTGGCACTTCTTTTGGCTTGTTTTACATTTTAGACCACAGAGGTGTGCGTTCTCCTAATACAATTTCACGAACATTTTTTTTTTAATGTTTTTGCTCAATTCAGCATTGAATCATGTCGAAAATGTGCCTTGTTGCGATAGTTACTACTTCCATAAAAAGTCATGTCGTTTCTCTTCTGGTGTTTAACCAAGGAACATACTGAAGTATGTAACAGAATGTAGGAAGAATGTGGCTGAGGTCTTTATAATCATGAACTTAAATAGTGAAAATATATTAGATTGAAAAATAATTCTGTAAAGAGGAGAAACAAATCTATTTTAAACACTGCACGTTCGATCAGTTGGTCTGTCGCTGTAGCTCTTGATGTTCTTATTTGGCTATTTTTTTGGAACCTTTCATATCTTGTTAATGCACTTATGCTTTCCACTGATTCAGGCAAAGTTAGAGAGAAATTCCCCCTTGAGATGGCTGAAATCCAAGGAGCAGTAATTGCAGCTGATATAAATGATGACGGGAAAATCGAATTAGTGACTACTGATTCCCATGGTAATGTTGCTGCCTGGACTCCGCGAGGAAAAGAGATTTGGGAAACGCATATTAAGAGCCTTGTTCCTCAGGTAACATATGTCGTATATTACATTTACACCTAAATAGTTTGTAGACAACCGAACTTATCATTTACGCTGTTATTAATTACTAATTTACCCCTCAGGGTCCCAGCATTGGAGATGTAGATGGTGATGGCCACACTGATGTTGTTGTCCCAACAGCATCTGGAAAAATATACGTTCTTAGTGGCAAAGATGGATCAATTATGCGGCCCTATCCATACAGAACTCACGGTAGAGTAATGAATCAAGTACTCTTAGTTGACTTGAAAAAACGCGGGGAGAAGCAAAAAGGACTCACTATAGTCACAACATCATTCGATGGGTATCTATACCTCATAGATGGGCCCACGTCATGTGCGGATGTTGTGGATATTGGAGAAACATCGTAAGCTAATTTGAAATCCCCTCTCTCTTCATTTTCAAGTATTAGTCATTATTGTAATTAAGACCACTCTATTCACTAAAATAAATTACTTGCGTAAAAATGTTTTCTTGTTCAATGGCAGATATAGCATGGTTTTGGCAGACAATGTAGATGGTGGGGATGATCTCGATCTTATAGTTACAACCATGAACGGCAACGTGTTTTGTTTCTCTACTCCTGTGCCACATCATCCTCTGAAGGTAAGTTACTATTTACTGGATGTTTTCACATTTATTTACCTTTACTGGTAGATAATTTTTGCTCTCCCTCGCAAATAATGTAAAAATAGGCTTGGAGGTCACCTTACCAAGGGAGGAATAATGCAGCACACCGGTATAATCGCCAGGGGATTTACGTCATGCCATCATCACGTGCTTTCCGAGATGAAGAAGGGAAGAACTTTTGGGTTGAAGTGGAGATTGTGGATAGATATAGATTCCCTTCTGGCTCCCAAGCACCTTATAATGTCACGGTATTTAACCTATTCTCCAATCAATTTTTTCATCTTTATTTAGGAATAATAATTTACAAAGGGATGGTTTTGTAGTTCAGTCTTTTTTATTAAGGAAAAATGTACAGTTACATTTCTTCACCACTAATATTATTTTGGATCATCACATCATTATTGTTATTTTGCAAAATTGAGGTACTAGTTAAGTAATTATAAATCTTGAGGGATGTTTTAGAGTGTGTTTGCTACGAATATATCCACTCAAAACGAGTTCTTTTTGGTTAATTAGTGTTGATTTTGAAAAAGTTGGTATAGTTAGTTGTTAGTGGGATTTTGATTTTATATTAAAATAACATTTAAAATAAAATAATTAAAGTTGATTTGATATAAAAGTATGAGAGATGATATGAAGTGATGGTCAGTTAAGTTAAAGTTATGTGAGTAGATGAATAGTGAATTAAAGTTGATATGATGTATAAAAATGAATTGGTTGATATTATTTAAGTATATTGATAATATTGATGATATTGGGGTTGAGTTAAAGTTGAGTTTGATTTTGAGTATGAATTGAGTGTGGATCGAGTAATTCTTATGTAGTTGTGAGAGGTGGATTTTTCTGATTAAGTTTCGAGGGTTTTTTCCATGCGGCCCATTTTTTATTTTTAATTCCTTAGTTTCTTGAATGCATTTTTATAAATCACAGGTGAGCTTATTAGTTCCTGGTAACTACCAAGGAAACAGAACACTCAAGCAGAACCAAATATTTGATCGACCTGGAAAGCATCGGATTAAACTCCCAACAGTAGGGGTAAGGACTACTGGATCTGTACTGGTTGAGATGATCGACAAGAATGGGATATATTTTTACGATGATTTCTCTCTCACATTCCACATGTATTACTACAAGCTGTTAAAATGGCTTGTTGTCCTCCCAATGCTGGGAATGTTTGGCATTCTTGTCATTTTGCGGCCTCAAGAAGGCATGCCTTTGCCTTCATTTTCACGCAACACTGACTTGTGATTTTGGAGCCCACTAGTGATTATCTGACCGTTCACTGAAAAGAACTCAGAGTGTAGGCTCTTGGTAGAAGCATAGTGGATTATATGAATGGGAATTATGGAATGCTGAGGGTTGATCATGGCTTTTGAGATTCGGGCTCGACTAATATATGTCTTGTTACAAAAGTTGGATTTTCCTATGGCAGAACCTGAGATTGAGTTTTAATATAGAGGGTTAGTATTGTGACTACTGCACTTGTTCTGTTGAAGAGCAGTTGAACCTTGTCAATCTTTGTAAATTGGATCCGTTAATCTGGGTTGTTGGAGTATGGTTCTATTTTCTTGGTTTTTCACGCTGGTTATTTTGTGGAGTAAGGTTAAATTTCTTAAAAGTTGGATTTTTCATGAGCATGGTTGGCCAAGTTCTGTTAGGGCAGGGAATATGTGAACTTATGTTGGATTTTTNCGTCCCTAATGTATGTTGGCTTGTATAGGGTATAAATACTTTTTTAGCGGCAATTGCTGCCAAAGTTTTTGGCTTGGGAATTATTTTCTTAGTTTTTCTTTCTCTATTTTTATTTTAACTCTAAGTTGCTCCAAATCATACTTTTAAACTAGTGCGTGGCCCGTGCGATGCACGGGAAAACAATATTACGATTGTATTATAAATTAAATATATAAATATTATTAATTATGATTTATCCATTATTTTTAAATTAAACCAGGTTGGACACAGTCCGATCGGATGGACAGAGAATCGATTTATAATCAGTTTAGTTCGCTTGAATAAAAATATTTGCTCTCGAATCCGTCAACACCAGTCGGTTGGACTGGTAGGATTGATACGATTTTCTAAATAAATTTTGTTATATTTAAAATTATTTTAAATAAAATTAGATATTTAAATAAAATAGAGATTTATAAATTATTTATCAATTAGTTTAAATATTTAAATTTATTAATTGTTTAGATATATAGTAACACATTTTATTTAAATTTATTACAAAAAGTACTATATTAAAATGTTTATAAATTAAAATCTGAACAAACAACAAATGATTTAATAAACTAATTTGATTATTTCGATGACGGTCCAGTTCTGAAAACCTTATATTACTGTATATTGATAAATATTATAATAAAATATTATTTAATTCACATAAATATTAATAAAATGATATATAAATATTCATAAATCATTAAATATGTTGTATTAAAATAATTGTTAATACGATTATTGGAAGTTTGGACTACATCACATTCACGTAATAAAATATTTTTAATATAAAATATATATTTAGGTTCAATAATCGATTTTGTGTGGTAGAACAGATACATAACTCAGTCACCTGAAACCAACTAAGTTGTGTCAAGTTTTTGGACTATTTTAAATATCACCTAAAAAGTAATTCAATCAACCTGGGCAGTACCCTTGTATAATCACCCGATTGATCCGAAGAAATTTTCTTATTTTCTTATTTTCTTATTTTCTTTAAATATATTTAATTTTATGAAATAAAAATATTTTATGATTCATATAATAAATGTCTACAACAAATGATAGTATATTAAGATTATAAATTATATATCTAAAGATGAATTAATTATTTTTACTTTATGCATATTAATAAAAAATAAACATAGTAATTTTCAAAAATTAAGATTAATTGATTGATTAAAAGAGCTCGGAACGAATCGATATTGATATTGCATATTTTTAGCGTTCAATATTTTTTTTAAAGGCACAAATATAAAGACCGAGATTTTAAAACTTTTGTTATATTTTGATTTGAGATTTTATAAATATAAAGACTAAGATTTTAATGTTGTTCGTTGTTTCTAAGAAAAAAATAAAAATAAAAACTTACACACTTAATAAATTTTCGCTGGATTTTTTAAATAATAAAATGAACTAAATCTCGAAATTTAAGGTAGCATTTAATGTTGTATGATTTTTAAAGAAAAAAATAAGAAAAATAATAAAACTTACTATTTATAGGCTGCATTAAATTCTGACCTATGTTTTTGCTACTATTTTTGGTAAATGTTAATTCTTATTATATATATATAGATATGCTTGGATATAAGATGTTTTGATTTTGTTTGGAGTTTTCCTTGGATATAAGATGTTTTGATTTTGTTTGGAGTTTTCCTTGGATATAAGATGTTTTTATTTTGTTTGGATTCAAAGGGGAAAAGACATAACTAATTCTTGTAAACACAAAGATTCCATTAAATAGACTAGTCACATAGATTTTCACATATACTCCAATCGCTCAGTGCTACTACCGTGTGCCCTGGCACACCTAGCAAGGTGTGCCAGGGCAATTTAAAATGAACATGTTATGTTACAAAATGAACATGTGCAAACATGATTTACACATGTTCATTTTGTAACATAACATGTTCATTTGTGGCACACCTAACTATTTGCGCCAATCGCTTCCGAAACAGGAAAAATTTAACTACCTCATATGCAAATAAATAAAGCCACCTAATTAGAAATCATTATTTATTTTCATTATCTTTATTTATTCTCTCTCTTCTTCTTTCTCTCTCTTCATTATCTTTCCCACGTAATTTCTTTTCTTCTTTTCTCTTTTCTTCTTCCCCTTCTTTTTTTTTTGACGAAATGATAGGGATTCTATTAAAAAACTCAAGCGAACCAAGTTCGAATAATACAAACCAACCCGAGAAGGAAAAGTGGGAGGACACGCATATAGCGGCCTAAAACCTCAACAAGGAAAAAAGAAGAACAAAGAGAAACAAAGACCTTAGTTCTACCTCCACTGCCAATGCCTAGAGATAAAGCCAAGGCCAAACCAAAGAGAAAGCACAAACCACACAAAGGACTAAAGTTCACAGTACAGAATAACCAAAAACAATAATATACAAAGCAAACTAAATGCCAGAGAACTCCAGCTAGTTGGTCAATGCAGCTTTGATCATCATATGCACTGGCATTTGAACTTCTTGAAATAGATTGAGGTTGCGAGTCTTTCAGAGCCACCAGAGGATGTATGTTGTCAACTGAATTCGATCCTCTGATGTTCCAGCCTTTCCAACCGAGCATATAAACTTCCACCAGCAGCTAAAAGATGAGTCCACCGTATGATTTGAGTCCCATGAGACTGGAGAGTATTGCCATGCACTTGTTGCTCTTGGACAGTGGAAGAGAACATGATTAGCAGTTTCAGCAGCAGCCCCACAAAAGTGGCAGATGACATCTATGTCCATACCCCTCTTTCTAAGGTTGGTCTTAACCGGCAGTGAATTGACTATACATTTCCAGATAAAGATTTTGACTTTGTTCTCTACCTTCAACTTCCATAACCTCTGAGTGGCCTTGCTTAATGATTGACCATTGAGGGAGCTGCAACCAGGGATGTCTAGCTGATGCAGCTTTTGTTGACAAAGGAAGGAATATGTACTAGATACTGAGAAAGTTCCTTTACTGTGAAGCTTCCAATAAATTTGATCAGCTTTGTCAGGCCTCAGAGTGTTGATTTTGAGAATGACAGTGCTATCTTCCTCATTGAAAACCTGCTTTACTAACCAAGTGTTCCATCCCTGACCTGTATCAGTGAGCAGCTCTTTAACTTTGATTAAGTGTCCTCTGGCAATGTCAATTAATCTAGGTTTTGGCTGTTTGAGAGTAGGTACCCAGTTGATATCCTCCAGTCTGGTATCTTCACCATTTCTGATAGTTATAGCAAATCCCTTGGCAAATGTGGGAAGAACAGACATCCAGTTGGACCAAAGCCATGAGCAGTTTTGAGTCTTGCTGGCTTCAAAGATAGAAGTGTTGGGATAATATTTTTGCTTCAAGATCCTGCTGACCAACAGAGATGGTTGAGTGGTAATTCTCCATAGCTGCTTGCATATTAAAGCAATATTTGTTCTTCTTCTTCTCTTCCAAATATGAATACCTAATAAAAAACCAGCCAAAAAAAATATAATATAAGTAAAAAAATTGATCATTGGTTATATACATACATAACAATTAAATTAAATTAACTGAAAAACAACAAAATGTTTGTTATTATGACTTTAAAGATTAATGATATATATTACGAAAACAACAAAATAATAAGAAAACAATAATAAAACATATGACAAGCAACATGAAAACAACAATCTACATAAAAGTAACATCAAAACAACATTAGAACATATGTGAAATAACATAAAAGTAACTTTATATTTACAATAAAATATGAACACACAACTCCTTTATATAAACACATGTATATATAAATCATCATTTTTTTAAATCAAAATTTTCAATTAAACTTTTTTATAATACAAGTAGAAAACCATTGTACACACACACACACAAAAAAAAGGATAACACACATGGGGCAAACCTTAGTCGGGAGAGGTTCCAACCTTAGTAGTAAAAGATGCTTTGATTTTTCGAATTTCAACCTTAAATTCGTGATAAAGAGATATAATAGATCTACAACAACCCTAATTTTATTGTTGGGAAGAACAATAATAACTAAAAAAAAAAGAACCGAATTCGAATTTGTAGATATTCGTTTCGAAATTCGAATATTCAATTCGTTAAGAATAACTATATATATTTTATAAATTATATATAATATACATTTTCTTTATAATATATATGTATATATATATATAAATATATATATTGTTACATTCCTATATTTTTATGACATAAAAAGTAAAAATATAATATTTTTACTAAAAATATTTTCCCTAAAAATATATGGAAAAATAATAATTATTTTTGTAATTTTAATATATTTTTTTAATTATAATATTTTTCTGAAAACGAATTTCGAATCGAATCGAATATGTTCGAATATTCTAAACGAATCGAATACGAATAAAAAAATTAGTTAATACGAATAAAAAAATTAGTTAGTTAACGAATCGAATACGAATTCGAATCCTCGAATATTTTACGAATTCGAATCGAATATCTTAGTATTCGCTTTGATTAGATTCGTTTACAACCCTAATTTGATTAGTGTTAATGGTGGGACCATGACATTTGATCTATTGAATGTCATTCAATGACTATTTTATTATATAAATAATATTATATTTTTATTTTATCAGATATAAAAAAAAAATAATATCAAAATAAGTGAAATAATGGGTCCTATGCATTTGCATTTAAATGTATCAACCAATGCGAGTTAGTGTTTAAATAAGTAAATTTGCGTGGAATGATGATGTAGAGATAGTGAAAGAAAGAAAAAATGCTTTTGTGTTTATATGAATGGTACGAATGCAGATGTTCTTAGTGAGATTTTGCGTTTATATAAAGTAATATTTAAAAAAAAATAATTAAAATTGATATGATGTAAATGTAGGAGAGAGATGATGTGAAGTGATGATTAATTAAAATTATGTGAGTTGATGTAATTTGTAAGAATGATTGAGTGATATTATTTAATTATACTGATAATCTTGCGGAAGTGTGGTTGTATTTAGTGAGTTAGACTTGAATTAAAAAAGTCGATTGGTTAAAAATAATTGCAACATTCTGCCTCATTTCTTCTCTTGGTCCTTAGAGACTTGGTGTTTTATGTAATGTTCAAGATCTCTTAAGTTGTCTTATCATAACTTGATGATATTTTTCATAGTAAATGTGATAACTTTCATGAGTAGAATAGATCATGATTATGTTTGATAAAACTAGCTGATAAGCTAGCTAAGAGCTTATTAGTAATTTTTGAGCTTAAAATTTATGACTTATAGCTGAAAAGCTAGCTTATATAATAAAAGTGTTTGGTAAAAGTAGCTGATAAGCTAGCTGAAATAAAAATTTCAACAGGCTTATTTGAAAAGCTACTCCAAGAAGCTTATGAGAAAAGCTCGAGCTTTTTAAAAAAGTCCGTCCTATCAAACGAAACTTATTTAAATACAGGAAACTTATAAGCTAACCAATAAGCTATAAGCTAGATTATTGGTGTATCAAACATAGCCTATATACTTATAGATTAGAAAAAGTGGGATTTTATGGTTGATTACGGGGATAGAGCTGATTGATGCCCTAGATTGTACTTAGAATAGTGTAAAGATTGAGACTTTGGTTTAAATCCCTAATGACATGATTGATATGATGGAATGAAATTTCGTAGGAATGAAATGAATTGAAGAATGAAATGATTATGAGAATTGAATGAAACATGTGTTGTCATTGATGCGTTTGGTATGCAGAAGGAATATGACTGGAATAGAATGACATTATCATTTTTTATTAAAAAAATAAATAAAAGTTTTTTTTAAATAATAATATACTTTTAATAAATTATATATAAATAATTTTTTAATAATAAATAAAAATAAAATAATATATTTTTAATAATATATTTTGAATAATATATACAAATAGAATAATATATTGTTTAATAATATAAAAAATAATATATTTTTAATAATATATTTTGAATAATATATAAAAATAGAATAATATATTGTTTAATAATATAAAAAATAATATATTTTTAATAATATATAAAAATAAAATAATATATTTTATTTTTTAATTAAACAGTAAATAAAAGTATGTTTTCAATTTTTTATTTGAATTTTATTTTTTAAAATAATAAATTTTAATAATATTTAAAAATAAATTAATATATTTTTAATAATATATATTTTTAAGATTTTTCAATAATATATTTTTAAAAGTAATATATTTTTAATATATAAAAAATAATATATTTTTAATAATATATATAAATAAAATAATATATTTTTAAATTATGTATAAATGTTTTTTTTAGTTTTATTTTTATATAAGTATTTAATATATCTAATTAAAATATAAATAAAAGTAAGTTTTCAATTTTTTTATTTGAAATTTTTTTAAAGTAATTTTATTTAATATATTTTAATCATGATTTATAATATATATTATATATTTATTTTTTATTATTATTTGTTAATTTTATTTTTTGAAAGTTGATTCCTATACACATGGGAATGAGAAAACCTTCCATTTACTATGGAATGGTTAATCCCATGGAGATGGGTTTTGCCATTCCCATTGGAATGATCATTTCTTCCCAAAAAATATACCAATCATAGGATTATGAATGAGTAAGGGAATGATCATTCCATTCCCATGTCATTCATTCTTACCAATCATGCCATAAGTTAATTACTCTACGGTTTATTTATTGTGTTTCTTGATGCATCAACATAATAGCCCGATTAATTCCTCCTGAGTATTTGATTGCATATTTCTGACTCTTTAAGTTTCTTCTTTCCATTTTCGGTCTTGTGGTGCTTAGTTATCTTTTTATTTATTTATTTATTTGTTTTGTGATTCAATGATTCTCTTGCTTTCGTTCAGACTTACTTGCACTTGATTTTGTTCAACACAATCAACCAAATTGCCATTAAAGCGTTTAGAATTTTATTTTCTACTAGTATGTATCCCGTGCGATGCACGAGAACAATATTAAATTAACAATATTATAAATAGATTTTGACTTTGAGTCACTCAATGACAGAAGTGGAAACTACTATTGATCCTATTTAAAAAGAGGAAGAAAAAAATAATTATAAATTAAAGAGGAGGATAAACAATACTTAATAATTATAAATTAAAGATTCAGGGTCAAACAATGTAAAACTATTTTGTATAAGAGAATATAAATTTACATTATTTTGTATAAGAGAATATAAAATTTGTATGTTTAATATTAAAAACACCTAAAATATTATATAAGTATATGTAAAAGTATTCAAAATTTTCTATATTATTTTAGAAAGATGTGATGTCACCTACAACTTTTCTAAACAATTTTAGAAGGAAAACATATCTAAAATCATTTGAATTTAACATTGTATAAAAAAAGATTTTTCTAGACTATTTTGTAAAGAAAACATGTCTACAAATACTTAAATTTAACATCAATTATGTATATATATATGTATATATATATATAGACGAATATGTAAAAAAATGTCTAAATAATTTGTTTAAAGTATCTAAAATATTATAAGCATAATTTAAAAAACCATTATGTCAGATGATACCGAATTTCTGACGTTACACACAATTATTATTATACTTTTTACGTTATTATCGAAGATGTATTGCTAGCTTATAATATTTGTTAAAATATTAGTAATTAGACCGATGAAAATTAGCTTTTTAAAGTAGATAATGGATTTCTAGTAGTAATTATGAATTGGTTTTTATTTTATTTTATTTTTTAAAATCTTTATATATAAGAGATGAGATTTTTTAAACTCGTGAGACGTATGCAATGGGATTTGTAACAGATACTCCCTCTGTTTCTTTTTAAATGTCGTTTTAATTTAAAACTTCTAAATTACTATTTTAATGGGTTGTGTAATAATTTTATATATTAATCCTCATAAAGAATTATTAATGGGTGGTTTTTAAAGATAATGATAAGAGATAAAGTTTGTTAAAGAGGATAAAGTTGAAAGAATGAATAAAATATTTGCAACAAAAACTAATTTGCAAAAAAGTTGACATCCTACAACGACATTTATAAAAAAACAGAGGGAGTAAGAGATAAACTTGTGTAGAATTATGCTATGAGATTTTATAAGCTACCAATTGTTTTTTAAACTTACCGAGTATTTTGTTCAGATTGTGTGAAATTAAAAAATGGACAACTGATTTATGTGAAAGTATAGATAACAGACGCCTCATTATACGGAGTTTGAAAACACCGCGATTTTGAGAAGAAAGTTAAAAAAAAAAAAGCCTAAAGCATTTAATGTTGCACGCGTGAATTCAGGAAACAAAGTAATAATTTGCTAGTAATAGAAAGTAATTAATGTTAACGAAGTTTGACTAAAAATTTGACTTTCTATTTTTTTAAAAAAAGGTTATTCTTTTTATATAAATATAGATTTTTGTAATTAATCGTTGCTTGAATTTAATTTCGAACAATTTTTCTCGATAAATACGACTCAAGGTCGGGACTTTTTTCGTATTCGACTAAAAACTACAAACACTCGTCCTATGAGGTTACATTGATTTATAAGTTTCAAATGTGCTTATTACGTAACTAGTACGTAGAAGGTGTGCAAGTAATACTAATTATTATTGATTATTTAACACTTAAAAAAAATGCTCAAAATATTATCCTCAATACTCACAAGTTACGTTTACAAAGTTCAATAGTTGTTCAATTTATAACTAGTACTTAGCAAAATTAGTGTGTGGGACAATATTTAATATTTGTATTATAATTTGACCAAAGTCCAATTTTTCACTCCTTTGTTGATCATTTTTAAATTGGGTCCAATAATTTGACAATTTAATCAAATTTGGTCCTATTTTATCCGTACCCTGAATAAAAACGTGACATGGCATAACGTGATTTTTTTTTCTTTTCCTGAAATGGTGTGACGTGCCGACTTCATTTTTATTTAATAATTCAATTATACCATGTGGAAATAGTTATGCCCATGGTGGAAACCAAAAAATTAAAACTAAAAAATTTAAAATAAAAAAATAAAAAAAAACCAGGTGGAAATAATTATATGCGGAAACCAAAAAAAAAAAATATTAAAACTAAAAAGTAAAAAAAATTAATACAAAAAAAAATTACAAGAAAGTGGATCGATGTTCTGCATATTCTCGTCGGACCCGTTCTCTTCAGCCGTCCGTCTGCCGCCGCTCCAACACCATCCTCAGCCAATCAACCCTCGTTTTCTTCAGCCGTCTGCCGCTTTTCCAACACGTACACTGTAGCCCGCTGCCGACGCCCAACACCACCTTCCCTGTTGATCAGAATTCCGACCGTACAGGCCATAGGCATAGCCTGGCCTACTCAGACCAGCCATCGTCAGTCATTATGAAATTTGGCGCCAGCAGCTCACATGAACGATCATAATACACGCGTTCTTCTCCTCGATACTCCTCCGATCGGAAGAAACGGGTCGCCGGTAAAATTCGTCGATTCTGGAGATGGTGGACGACGTCAGGTGTGCGGCGGCCTGAGGAGTCTGGAGGTGTCCTCTGATTTTGGTGGGTCGTCGTGAGTCGCCGAGACATTGAAAACAAGTCCGGGATTTTGACCAAAATTTTGAAGATCTAAAAATTTTGACCAAAACAATTGATTATCTTACCGGTGGAATTTTCGCCAGAAATTTTATGCGATGATTAAGGACAAGGAGAGCTTTAAGATAATGTTAAAAAAAATTCGATATGAGGTAAAAAATAAACACGGTCACGTGGGTTAAGAGAGTAAATTACTAGCGAAAATTAGTTTAGTTTTTCTTTTTTTTTAAAGAGAGATTGGTTCAATCTTTAACTTAGGATTAGTAGTCATCTTTAATTAACCGAACCTATTCCACAAGAAACAGGTTTCATATTATTTTTTTTAGAATCATATACTCTCAAGTCTCGAGTCACTTTCACAATACAAATTGCAAGTCTTGTCCATTTAACGCAAAAGAGAAGTACAAACGAATAACTGGTACATACAAGTACAACTCGAAGAATTAAGACTGCATATAAACGCACACGTGAGCACACACATATATGTTTATACATATATTAACGGGTCAAACAAATAACAAATGTAATTATAAACTTTACTTAATTACGAATATATTAGACTTAATTAGAATAAGTATCATTATGTATCCCAGGAATATCCTTAATGTTTCTTCTTCTGCGAGTTCGATTTCCGGAGTTTCTGTTCGTCTGACAGTAACTTGGCAAACCTACCACACAAATGAGCGAATTAAGCAAAATCAATTAACTTTAAAGTAATTGGATTGTAATATAACATAAGAAATATATATATAATCAACCAGTTAAGGTTGAGAGAAAATAATATACGACGAACTTTTTCAAAGCTTCCTCATTTGTGCCTCCATTGGGAACAGGCTCAGTATTTCCTGTTTGAAGATTAATTCTAGAGACAGGGGCCTTTAACAAATTTTCTCCAATTTTGACAAGATCACTCAAATTCTGCTTTGTTGTGTCATCAACGGAAGAGTTCGGCCCAGTCAATGAATCGTCCTGTCATTAGATTATTAAGAATTTTACATGAAATATACATGGAAGGATGTAGTCCAAATAAAAACCAAAAATTAATATAAGAATGAGATATTTTAATTATGTTATATGCAATTTTAATTACNTATGTGTAAATTGTAGTTATGACATTAAATAATAAGTATGCTTAATGAAAAGAGAAAATCTGAAGAGTGTAAATAATATTAGTTGAATATTAACTAATTCGATATACATTTAAATATCAATAAATATTATAATTTCAAAAATATAGTAAATATATATCTAAATCTATATATTATTAAGGAAAAAAGTATACAAATAGACTATATAAAACCTTTTTTTGCCTTTTGCATGATTAAATAAATAGAATTTGATTTTATGTAAACTTCAATACCTGTAGAGCATTTTATGAATTTTGTACATATAAAATATTAAAAGTTAAATTATTATATTTCCATTCTTAGTTTTTTTTTTCATAATTTATTTGAATATTATATACTATGATTAGTTGAATTGGTTTTTTCATTTTAATAATTCAAATTTTGAATAGTTTGAATAACACACAGTTTAATTTTTTTAGTTTTTGGAAAGAAAATAAATTTGGTCAATATAAAAAATTATTGGAGACCTGAATACGAAGGTAATTGTCCTGAGAACGAAGGCCCTGGAAGACAACGCACAAGAAGTAGTCAACCATATCTTTACTGGCTTGGTTGAAGACGTCAACTATTGGGACTGAGTTGTCTTGGAACAACCATCCAAACACGCCCCACTTTCCCGCCATTTCTGCTGTGTACTTGTGTTCCTGTTTATCAGATCCCGTGCCGAGCGACACCACTAGAAACCGCCCAAAGTCCAGCGGCTGAATCGGGAAAAAATCCGGGTCGTTTCGAGATATTTGTTTGCTTACCTCTCGTATCGCTACCAAAGTCTGCGGCTCCAAAATATATAATAAGTTATCCCAACAAAAGACTAGTAATATTTTAAATTGAAATGTCACTCTAAGAAGTAATATAAATAAAAGTATATTTCATAATTTAAATTTGTATTTTTGTTAAACAAAAGTAATTTTGTGTTACAGAATTTGTTAGGAGAAACAAATCAAGGGACAGCATGTGAAATCAATATTTAATTCAAGAAGATGATTGATTTATCTGGAAAATAAAATAATAATTTGTTAATATTTACGGGGTTATTAGCAGCTACACCGCCGTCAATAAGATTAAATTCCCATGAATTTCCAGAATTGTCGGTGTGTGTGAAATGATGGGCAGGCAAGTAAGTCGGCGCCGCCGATGTGCCAATGCATAAATCGGATAACTTGACGTCCGTATAATTCAAAGTCTTCATCTGCATTAATTAATTACCAAAATATAATTTAATTAAATAATCAGAGAAAAACAACAATTACGGCATATATAATTGATTGATATATATAAATTAAAGTTCATTCCATAGTCGTTATTAGCTAGTATTTTTAATTGTTAATTTAATATATATGAACATATGTATATTATTTTATCAAGGTTAATAATGGATAGGACGTAAGCAACGCCAGATGGGCAAAATATCCAGTCAACCGCGGATATTGCTTTTGTACTAATCTAAGTTACTTTAAATTATGCTTTCTTGTCACATACTATTCCTTAAACACATTGATAAATTGTATCCACGTCAGTGCATATCAAAGGAAGAACATACACTTATTTCTATATTATTTAAAATAATATCTTAATGTAGATGTTATATATCCCTGTAGAATTAGAATTAATTAATTAACTGGTTTACTAAGTTCACGGCAGATGAACTAATAATGAGTCGTACAGTTGTGCTTCTTTATATGAATCACTATAAAATGAGGTAGAAATAAAATGCTAATATTAGTTTTAAGATAAATATTTAAGGAAAAAGTTTTGTTATAATGTTTATATAAGTGTATAACTTGCATAAACTTTTATTGTAAATTTATAATTAGTTAATACTAGTAATTTTTACATGATAAATAAGTTAAAAAATATATTACACTTCATTAATGAAAATGTAACAGTTAATTTCTATAATTTAATAAAAAAAGAGCGGAAAAATGCCAATAATATATGAGAGAGAGTGAGAGAGGAGATAGATGGACCTCATAGGAAGAGAAAATAGCTGGCTGCATATTCTTGATGTCAAATGTGGGAATAACAACATTAGTTAAGGTCTGGTGAAGCTTTGTCTCCCCCAAATTTTCCTTCAATATCTTTCTCAAATACTTCCCATTGTACTTTGGCCCTACTAACATACCTAATGTCCTTCCAACAGAACCTACCATCCCCCTGCATGCATGCATATTGCATTATACGGCCCCATTTACTCAACGCATATTAACAATCAAAGAAAAAAATTGGAACTCAAAATTCAAATTATCATAATTAATTTAATTTCGTTACTCTTTATATGGAAATATACTCGGCCCATGCTTCACATAAAACGGGGCAATATCTTTAGCGGCATATAACGGGCGGTTATTTGCATCGGGAGCTGTCAACATGGCCGTCACAAGCCCACCTGTGCTTGTGCCGGCTATAACGTCAAAGTAGTCCGCCAGTCGAGCATCTTCTCCATCCAATTTCTGATTTTTTTCATGCATCAAAAAATGCAACATAAATCTAATCCCCCTATATATTAATTCAGAACATGCTGAGCCTAAGTGGCATGCTCGCATGCTTCGGGATCCTATGTGGCAAAATTATATGCTTTGTTATTAGGCTTGGGTAGATTTTAAATTACTTTCAATCCAAAAATAATTAGTTCGTACTATCCAAAAATATATTGATTATTTATGGTCATTTTTTCTTATTATAACCATTAAATTGTAAATATATTTTAAAAGTTAATAACTGTTGTATTTTTTATCAGTTTTATATATATAATATATCAAATTAATCATCTTTTGATGATCTTCGATTTAACATCCATATTGTATGTATGAAAAAAAATAAATTATATTTATCGTTATAATAATAATAAAATTGTTTTTTTAATATTAATGAGAAAAATAAAGTATATTTCAATTAATTATATGATATAAGATATAAAAATTACTATAACATAACACATATAAGTCGCACAAGTAACAAGTGTCATTCTAAAATATATGATAATATATATTTTTTGTAAAAAAAGTAAATAAAATTTAAAATAATTTTTCTCATTAATTTTAAAATTTAAGAATAATTTTTTAACAAACACCCGTGTAATACACGAGTGTTGTACCAATTACTATGTTAAAATCAAGTTTTAATTTTTGATATATTCCGTAATAGGACTGTAGTCATCCCCTATATTCATAATAATTAATCATGAAAAATCACTTCCTTTTTTCCTTTTGGAAAAATAGATAAATGATTTTTGTCGGGTTTACATATATTGGTACCTGGAGTTCAGCTTCAAGAAGTTCAAGAATTTTGGCTGGGATTATGCCCCTAATCCCACCTCCATCGATGCTTAGAATAGTGATTAATTTACCATTGGCCGGTGATAGAGTTCTACTAAGAGACGATGATGATGATAATGATGATGCCATTAGACTATAATTAAGCAAGGAGTTTCTAGTGGAAGCTTATCGGGTTGAATACTTGAATTGTGATATATTTGGTTTGGAGAAATGATACATAATTTGGGGTATTTAAAGGAGATATATTTTTAGTTTTGGCACATCTCACGTATTCATGCCCACCACGCAACACAATTAAACTTAATTACCGGGTGATTAACAATGTTAGTATTTCCTGGCTAACTGGATTGGCCATCGTATGCATTATTTAGTCTAAGTCATCATTTATTTGAAATGGAAAAATGATAGTGTTGTTAAATATGAGGGCGATGGTTATGTCATTATTTAATTAGTCTAAATCTTCATTAATTTGAAATGGAAAAATGATAGTGTTGTTAAATATGAGGACCGATGGTTATGTCATTATTTAGTTTAAGTCTTCATTTATTTGAAATGGAAAAATGTGTTTTTGAATATGAGGGCCGATGGTTATGTCTTGACCGGCTGGGGAATAATCTACAATTAAGCAATAGCTTCATCAAGAAGCAATTGTGCAAATTTAACTTAATATTTCGAACATAATATTTCATTATCTCACTGGATGGCGTGTCATTGGATTTTATCTTTTCATTTTATTGAAAATAATATTTCGAATTCGAAGCATGAATTAAAACTTAAAATATTTAATTACCTGTTGAATATGTGCACTGAGAAGTACTATTGCATCTTTATTATTATAATATTATCAAAATGTTTTGTCATTGATAATTGAAAATCCTTTTAACTGATCAAATTAAGTTTGGATCCAAGTACCTATTGAAACGCTAGCTATCCAAATCCCTTCTTTATTGGTTAGTTTTGATCAAGTATTGCTAGAGGAACAACCAACCCAATTTGCACCATTTTTAACAAAAGTTCATCTTTCTGAAAATCAAATGCAAATGTCGGTCGGGAAAAGGAGATAGAAATCTATTGCTTACAAGAAGGCCATAAGTAAAATATTTCTCATTATGATAACAAATAAATTTAAAAAACAAAACTGAAATCCAGAAACGACCCTATAAGGAGGTGATGGTAATCCGTGCAAAATTTTCATTAGGCCACAATTAGTAGTTAAATAATCTTGAAAGCGTCTTTTGGGTTTATCAATAAGGCCTCTCTTAATTGGCTTCCTTGCCACCGTGAAACATGCGCGTCAACTCTTCAAATTCTTGGCACGTGTCATTCTGTACTTATATCACAATCAATCTGTACTTATCAATTAATACACGCGTTTAAGGGTTGACCTAGCTAATCGATCGGTAGGGTCACAATTACTTTGCTTTAGTCTCCAAAATATTTGCAAAGGCCACACTAGCTAATTTGTATTGTTAATGTTACAATAGATATATGATGAGATAATGATCTGGGGCCCTAGTATCGTTAAGCCAGCAAGCTTATAAGTTTTCAATTCAAGATGAAGTGGGATTGCATTTTATTAAACTATACATCACGCTCAAGTATTGTTGTTACGTCGTCAACAAGGAATAGACATTTATATGCATGACTTGAGTTGGGCTCTAGTGCTATGTAGAGTACAATGGAATTGTACTTTTTTTATAGCAATAAGTGCATAAAATCTTAAATCTCCGTAATTGAAAAATGAAAATGTTAAGTTTTAAGTACAAAAAAGGAAAACATTTATCATGTCAACACCAATTGTCCATATATTTTTTTTGTGTTATGTTATTTTGGGATATAAGAAATTAATGAAAATTTGCGGGCTGAGGGAGTTTACCCGCGCAAGTTCATTTGGCGTGCGAGATGAGGCACATTTGTGGGCAGCTGGTTGAGAAAACTCGTGGGTTCGGCGAAAAAATCCACGTGACAAGGTGTAGATGATTGGAAAACCAACAGGCTTGACGAGAAATTATTGGGTTCTATGACGAATGTCAATAAATGCGCATAAACGAATATGAAAATGCTAACATAGCGGAATTTGCAGTTAGGATTAAAACTTACGGTTTAAAATTTCACAGACTCTATATATAAACAACCTACAAGGCCGGATGAACGGTTCTGAGTTCCCATCTAACGTTCTTGTCCACCGGCCCTTAATCGCCTATCGTCTTCTGCCGTGAGTCGCTAAGACCAGCTGTCGTGCGTTGTCGAGTTGCGTACGTCCTCGTGCTGCGTGCGTGCGTTTTTTGCTTGTCATCCTCGGGATCGAATGAACTGGGTTATCTTTGAACCTTCAATTAATAGTATGACCGATCATCTGTCCGAGTACGTCTTGGTGGGCGACTCATCGGATCTCTCAAACCTCACGTTGATTGATCTTGAGAAATAATAAAGAAGACCAAATTGTCTTCGATGTTCTTAGACTGAGAAACTGATGTTTTTCACGTGAAAAATAACGTGTCCATCATATATGTGAGACCTTAGAAACTTGGTGTATTTATAGGATACAACAGAGACCAAAATGAGGTGCTAAATAAGATTCTCCAGGTGTGTAAGCATTGGTCTATCCACATCATTCACACTTGAATAATATTTCATTCAACTAAAGAAATATTATTGAACTTTCAATTTAGCGCCAAATTACAATTGATTCTTCTCCTGATTTATTTGCTCGATTTACCTCACTATGTTTAAGATCTAACGTCCGCTGACTAATTTAACTACTGACAATATAATTAATCAATTTATTGATATGAAATTAGTGTTGGGACTAAGATCTCGAAAGTATGCCTGTCACAGACTATCTACGAATTAAACCCTAAGCGCAGCGAAACTAGAATCGAGGGTTCAACGCATACCGTTTTTAATTTTGCCGACTCTGAGATGTTTCTGATTTCCGTTATTGGAGATCTTATAGCGCCCTGTTCGTTTGTTAGAATTTTTTTGAATATTATATTATTATTTATTTATATTTTATTTGATTTATTTCTTTATTTTATATTATTTGCTCGACTATTGTTATTAACTACTTGTGTTTGCCTGTATTATTTATCTGCTTGAATATTAATTCTTATATGCTTAATTGTCCTTATTTATTATGTGATTATATTATTTATTTATGTGTTAGAAATATTAGGATTTATTTGATTAGAATTATTTTAAATGTTAGTTAGTTCGTTGGGTTGTTCCCGTTCAATTGAGTGGTATTATTTTTCGAGCCGTCTCGACCCTATTTCCGTGGCATTTTTATCCGGACTGTAGGAGTTTTGTTTAGGCCTGTTAACAAGCTCCTAATTCTGGCCCAAATTCTAATTTTTTTTTTTTTTTTAAGTTTAGCCTATTTGATATTTTCTGGCCCAAAGAATGGAATTTATGAGTCCATTTGAGAATGGAATCGGCAGCCTCGTTCTCTTTCCGCGCGTGCGTTGAACCATTCCTCGCCCCTGCCCATTCAAAAATCCTCTGTTGCGATTTTTATTAAGATCTCCATTTCTTTTAATAATGATCGAGGACGATTTTCAATCTCATCAGATAAGTTCATCTCTCCCTCGCGTAGCAGCTCTCGTCCATATATATATATATATATATAAAATCAATCGCACCTTTTTTCGGCGAACTGCCACCCCGAAGCAAAACCGTCGCCGGCGTTCCCTCATCATACAGCCCTCTTGCCGTCGCCGATACACTGCTAGCAGCTTCCATCGCCCGTGAGCAGCCGCAGTCCTCAGAGACGCCCGCAGCTCTGTCACATTAATTCCGGCGAACATCTCCGGCAACCTGTCCATCGCCGTTCGTTACCCGGTTTCAGACGCCGTTCGTCGTGAGGACTCTGTTCGTTCGCGTGCAGCTGTTTTCAGTCCCGGTGTTCGACAGTTTCGAGTTTCGAGTCCCCATTTGTTCGATCATTCGGCCGTCCGTCCGTTCGTTTTCCAGCCGAGCGTAGAATCCAGAAGAGAGGTAATCGACAAACCTTCTTGTTATATTCTCGTGCTCGTTTTATCGATTCTTGTTAATTGTCGAATTTGATTCATTATGTTCGATTTGTTTCATCGTCGGTTGTGAATTGTGAATTTCACGTGGATTATGGAACTCCCGTGCATATGGGTGATATATTTTATTTCGGAGTCTTGTCCGTTTTTTTCGAGCCTTAAGTATTCGTTTTATCGTTTGAGCCTTGTTGCCGTCGTTGCCGTTCATTATTTCCGAACCGTTTTATCGTTTCGTTTTTGAGACAAAACCCATTTTTGATTAATTTCAAAACTTTGAAAATTATATATATTCTATTTCTATTTTCGAAATCTTTGAACCCGGTTTCTGAGGAGTCGAAATCACCGTCAATCGGTGCCGGTTCACAGCCCCTGTTCGGAAATTTTTCCAGCCTCTGTTTCTATTCCATGCGCGGCTTTGTCTCAGCAACCAGCCAACCCAGTTTTTTGCAGCCCAAGAGGATGCTTGTGCGGCCCAAATCAGTTCGCAGGCCCACTTCGCGGACAGCCCAAACGCGCCAGAAGATTCAGCGTCTCGCGGGCAGCGAAACCCCACAAGCGGCCCGCGTCCGAGCCCAATGCAGCCCGCGTCTCCTCTCAATTCCTTCGGCTCGTGAACCCGATCCCGACCCGTGTGAAGGCCCGCTCCCTGCAGCCTGTTAACAAGCCCTCCCAGCGGCCCAATTTATGCGCGCAAGGCCCAAAGAGCCACTCCAAGCCTTTTGTTCAGTGGCCAGCTCGGCCAAGCTGATTTGTTAAGTGTACCAACAACTCGTCTTCTGCACCGAAAGCTTATTTTTCGTACCGAACTCGATTTTAAAAATTATTTTTCAATGAGGAAAAATTTAGGAAAAATTATTTTTTAAGTCCCGAGACTCTATTTTCGTTCTCCGAGTCTTATTTTTCAAAATTCGAGAGTTCCAAGTCCACAAAAAATTCGATTAAAACCCTTAATTCTTAATTTTGATTAAGTTTGGGTTTTAGATTAATTCCGAGTAGTGAGATAGATTATTAATATATTTTCTCGCTTAAATATAGGTGTTTGAGAAGTCGAGCCCTCAACTTACTACTTGCTGATTATTGTAATATAGCCTACTTCGACTGATCAGGTGGGTGTTGATAAACTTACCATGTATGTTAATTTCTATAAATGCTTGGCTTGATAATCTAGGTATGCAT